GGGAAGCTCCCAGGGCTGGTCATGGCATGGACAGGGTGGTCTGCTGGCCCTGGGAACTGCAGGGCTCTGCTGTGGCCCTGCTTATGACCCAGAGCACACTCAGTGCCTGGCTGCTGAGTGGGAACCTCAGGAGCCACTTCCAGGATGAACTGTAGGTCAGACTGGCAGGATTCTGCCCACCCAACCTTTTGGGGTGTGCCCGAGGGTGCTCACCCTGGTCAGACCCTCAGTGTGCACTCCAAAGAGGGAAATCTGCCCTTGAGCCTTGCTGCAACGTGTCCTGATGGAGGGGACCCTGCAGGGAGGCAGGTCCTGTGCCAAGGGAAGGCAGGAGACTGGCAGAGCCAGCCCTGGCAGCAGAGCTGCTGGGAGCTGCAGGCATCACCCCACCGTGCCTGGGGGTGCAGCCTTGTCTGCAGTTCCTTTCCTTGGACAATCTTTGCCATGATAACAGCTTGATTTTAACTCTGGAACCTGCTGATGGGAACCAGAATCAGCTTCTGGTCTGCACCACTATTTCTTGGAATGATTCTCATGCCCAGAAATCCTAGGCAAGGCTGGGGAGGACAGCAGGAAACATGTGCTGGTGGTTCATTGTGTGGACAGCTCTGGAAAGCAAGGCATGAGGCTGGGTTGAATGCACCCCACAGAGCTTGCCACATCCCGTTCCCTGTCTGCAGGAACAACCATGGTGCTCCTCACTGATGTTTATGGGATGTTTATGGCCAACATTCTGGGAAAAAGCCCGGGAGAGCTGGGTGACCTGCACCCGGCTGCGGGGACAGAACTGCTCACCCTGTCCCAAACCCTGTCCCAGGCACCCTCCCTGCTCTGCTGGATTCAGGTTTACCCCTTCCCTGCCTGGCTGAGATGCAGAACCAGCCTCCTGGGGACCCAAATCTGAATCTGTAGCTTTCAGAGAGCTGAGGGAGCAGAGAGGCACAGCGGGAGCGCCGGGAAGCAGACGGCGCTGCTGCGTGGAAATCCATGCCCAACTGCTCCATATCATATCATACAGCATATGTCTAGAGACAGGCCAGCAAATTCAGACCTGAAAATGTGTATAATTGCCAGGCAGGACTTTGAGATTGAAAGAGCTTCAAAGAAAACACAGTTCCTGTGTGCTGAGAGCAGCGTGGTGGCTCTCTGGGAGTTGAGTTGAGCGGGACAGACCCTCCCCTTGCACGTTACTTTAGTCCTGGCAGAGCCTGAAGGTCAAACCTGGCTCACTCACTTGCACCACTTCAGTGTTTGCTGGTTTGGCTCAACACCAGAGCTCGCTGGTCTTAGCACAATACACAGGAGCATAGAATCGTGGAATATCCTGAACTGGAAGGGGCCCATAAGGACTATTGGGTCTATCTCCTGGCCCTGCACAGGACAGCCCATGAATCACACCATGATTCTCCTATAGTTCCATTTATTTTTCCATATGGCTCTTTTTGCCTTTTCCTACTCTCTCTGCAGCTTAGTTTTCTCAATCATTGCCCAGAAATTGCCCTGGAACAGTGGAAAATGCTGTTGCCATCAGATTTTACCATGGTCAATGGCACGTGGCCTGGAGCTCCAAGGGAGTCCCCCCCAGTCACAGTGACAGATTCCCTGCAGAACCCTCCCTGGTTGCCAGCACAGGTCCTCAGGCAGCAATGCCACCCCTGTCTGCTGTCACACACTCTTGTCCCCGTGGTGGGCACCACCTTGAGGGCACCCAAGCCTGCCAGCAGCTTGGGGGTGGCATTTGGTGGCCTGAATGGCTTGTGTGGGCTTCAGAAGTGACCTGAATTGTGGTGTGAGCTGCCCAGGGGGTGCCAGGCTGGCTCTGTCCCTCCGGTAACACAGGCACCCTCACAGGGCTCCTGCCAGCTCTGGCCTTGCACCAGCAGCACAGCGATGCTTGGACGTGCCCCAGGCTGGGAGTCACATCCCTCTGTGGGAAAGTCAGTCCCAGTGGGAGTGGGAAACCTCATCCCAAGCTTCCCTCCGCACCTCCCACCCCATTTTCTCTGTGGGATCTCCTCTCACGTCCCACCCTAAGCCCTCCTGGCAGTACCACCAGGCACATCCCTGCAGCATCACCTCCCCAGTGCCAGCCTCCCATCCCTCACTCCCGGCACGGCGGGGAGCCTCGGGGCTCTCCCTTGCTCTCCTTCTCTTCCAGGAGCCAGGTGAAACCCAGGAGTTTTTAGGATCTGTGCTGGCAGAACACAGCGAGCAGATGGTGCCCTAAAATCCCCGCGCCCCGAAGAGCGAGCCAGCGATCATTTGTGAAGCTCTTGAGATCTATTTTTTTTTCCCAGAGCCTGCTGAGCCTGGCGAGGAGCGTAATTGCAGCCTGGACTGGCTGGAGAGGGCAATACCCGGATGGGCTCCTCGCCTTTCAGGCTGTAATTGGGCCCTGGCGATACAAAGCACAAAGCTCCTTTCCTTCCTGCTTGCCCGGCTCCCTCCGCCAAACCTTCCCCTGCCTGCGCTGGAAAAGATGCAAATACCAGGGCACGGGAGAATGGCTCCCTCGTGCCTGCGTCACGTCTGAAATACCCATTAAAAATATATGTTCCAAAAAGAGCACCTCTGCACCCAGCACAAACTCTCCCGGCAGCGGGGGCTGCGGGAGGGAGCGGATCAAAGGGAGGAGGGACGCGGCTGTCCCGGCTCCATCCCCGGCAGGGATGGGCGTGGAGGCTCGGCGGGGTCCGTGGGGCAGGGATGGGTTTGGAGGCTCGGCGGGGTCCGTGGGGCAGGGCTGGGTGTGGAGGCTCGGCGGGGTCCGTGGGGCAGGGGTGGGTTTGGGGGCTCGGCGGGGTCCGTGAGGCAGGGATGGGTTTGGAGGCTCGGCGGGGTCCGTGGGGCAGGGATGGGTTTGGAGGCTCGGCGGGGTCCGTGGGGCAGGGATGGGTTTGGAGGCTCGGCGGGGTCCGTGGGGCAGGGGTGGGTTTGGGGGCTCGGCGGGGTCCGTGGGGCGGGCTGGAGACGCCCGGCAGTCCCGCAGGAGGCCGGGATCCAGCAGCGGGGTCCGCAGCGCTGTGCTGCCGCTCGGCTGGCTGGGCCGAGCCTGCAGGGATGCGGGGAGCCGAGGAAGGGGCTGAGAGGAGGGGGAAGAGGCTCCCGCAGCAATAAGCGGGTTTAATGAAGAGCCTTGAGGACGTGCATCTCTCCCGGCAGCAGCGGGATGGGGCTCTGGTGGCATCACCTCCCTGCCCCTGCCTGTGAGGTCCTGTCCCAGTTCGGGGTATGGTGTGACCGGTGGGGAGAGCAGGGAGTCCACGCACATCCTCCTGGCTGCTCCTCTGCCTCATGGCCTTGGGGCCTGGGAAGATAATTACACATAAATTTTGTCGCAAAATCTCCCCTTCAGCGAGGCAGGGGACAATAATTTGTCCCAGAGACCCCATGTAGTGAAGGAGCTTTTCTGGGCAACCCGACAGGGCTTGGAGGGTCTGGGAGGTGAGGGCTGGTGATGCCTCGAGCCCTGGTCTCCAGGAACACCCCTGGGGATGTGCCTGGGCTGGGGGAGCCACAGGGCTCTCAGGCTGGGCACTCAGCTCCAGCCGCTGAGAAAGGACAACCCACAGAGACATTTTCTTCTTCTTCAAAGGAATTCAGTGTTTGGCTGGAGCGTTCAAAGGAGATTTAAAAAGAGAAGATAAAAAAGAAAGTTAAAAGCTACCCAGTGAGGGGTGGAAGCGGGAACGTGGGGAGAGATCAGGGGCAGCGCCGGCAGCAAAGCAGTGGCAGGACACCGAGAGAGGATGAGGAGAGCCTTCATCCCCCAGCTGCCCAGCCAGGGCACTGATTCCCATCCTCCAGACCTGCAAGCTGGGTCTCGGCTCCCGGGGAGCCGCGGCTGTGCGGGAGCAGCGGGGCTGGGTGGCCGTGGGGGGAGCAGGGAGCCTGGGGCAGGGGTCCAGCAGCGTGGGAAGGGTGGGATGGAGCAGGGATGCCGAGCAAGACACCGGGAGGGAAAATGTTAATCAACTGCAGTGCCTCCCTGAAAGGAGCCAAATGTAAATGAGATAATTAAGCTATTATTTAAAGCCGGGAGACGGTGGGGACAGGCCCGGGGTGGCCGGACTGCATTTTAATCAGCTGCCTGGCTGGGGCTGGGGAGCCCGTGCTGGTGGTGCCCCTGCCTCTGCATCCCTGCCTGATTCCCTGCCTCTGATTCCCTGCCTCTGATTCCCTGCCTCTGATTCCCTGCCTCTTATTCCCTGCCTCTGATTCCCTGCCTCTGCATCCCTGCCTCTGCATCCCTGCCTGATTCCCTGCCTCTGATTCCCTGCCTCTGATTCCCTGCCTCTGCATCCCTGCCTCTGCATCCCTGCCTGATTCCCTGCCTCTTATTCCCTGCCTCTTATTCCCCGCCTCTGCATCCCTGCCTCTTATTCCCTGCCTCTGCATCCCTGCCTCTGCATTCCTGCCTTGGCTGCCTGGCTCCTGGGTTATGGACCAGCCCCTCTGTGAGCTGCCCTCAGCCTCTGTCCCCACTGCCCAGCCACTGCCATCCCGTGTCCCCAGGTGTCCTGCCAGGTCAGGGGACAAGGGGTTCAAGTGTGGGGGTATCTACACCCGTGTTACCACCTTTCTGTGGGGTTTTGTTTAGGCTGCAGGAGCCCTTCCAGTGCCTCAGTTTACCTGCTTTCGCTGTTTTGGATATTAAAAGTTTGTAATAAGAATAAACAGTGCTGGTGAGGATAAATCCACCCGAGGAAAAGCAGAATTTGAATGCTCCAGTGGTGCTGGCCAGACTTGTTTTTGGGAGCCTTTTTAAACTGTCTTGTTACCAGGTGACCAGAAGAAGTCTAAGCAATTGCCCTGCGGCTCACTTTCCCCACCTCTGGAAGCAGCGCTGAGGTTCAGGGATGCTCTCAGCACAGTGAGGAGCTCCAAGGTCACTTGTGAGCTGCCACGAGCCAGCAAATGGGGCAGAACAGAATTTTCTTCCCGCATTTCTTTGTTTTGGTCAGGGATGGAAAAGAAAACAATGTCCAAAGCCATCAACAGCCAGGGGTGTAAAGTAATTTTATTCTATGTCATCAGGACCATCCTTGCTGGTGGTGGAAGATCTGACTCCTGGAAGCAGAGACTTCTGAGCAGCAATGAGAAGATGGGTGGTTGTTCACTCCTTTTCTCATATACCAGCTGGGATCTAGGTGAAACACAGTTAGTAGGGGCCAGGTTCAAAGGAAACCCGAGGAGATGTCTGTTCCATGGAGCATCCTTAAGGAGAGCTCCACACTGCAGGGGGAGTGGATGCTCCCAGTTCCTAAAGGAGGTGTGAGAGTTCAAAGACACCAGGAAAAAGCCCATGGAGATCTCTTAAGGAGAAAGGCAGCACCTCTCTAGCTCAGAAAACTCTGCTCCATGAAGGTCTGGAGATCAGGGGAGCAAGCAAATGTTACACATGCCAACCACATTTGAAATGGTTCCCCAGGCACCTGGCACTGGTGGAAAAGGGGGAGCAGGGTAGATGGATGCCTTGTGCATCTCTACAACACAGCCCTTGCCTTTCGAGAGGCTTTCTTACTGTATGGTTAAATGGTAAATTAAAAGCCTGATCCAGAGTGGCTTTCAAGTGCCTTGCTCTTATTTAGGTACCTCATTCCTGCAATTTCCATTCCTTCACAGAACCGAGCCCTTAAATCCTGAAGACACTTCAGAAAACGCTATCCAGCATCCCATCTCAGCAAAAGATTATTGCAGGCAGTCCACAGAGCTCTGAGCATCCTGGCAGTGGTGGCAGCTGACTCCTGGCCCTGTGTGGGCCGGTGCTGTGCCCTGTGCCCCTGGGGCTGCCCGTGCTGCTGGCAGGACGCTGTGGAAGGAGCTGGTTTTTCCCAAGCACTCTGCTGGGGAGCACCCACCTGAGCATGAGCCCAGCCTCCCACTGCCCTATTTGCCCAAAGCAGCAGGGTTTTTTCCCTCCTCTCCACCCAGGCAGCCAGGCTGCAGCTGCCTCCCCTCTCCTGGGCCTGGGTAGGGACTTCAGGTGCAGCTGGACCATAAATTCCTGGCACCAGCAGCACTGCAGTGGTGCTGCAGCTTTATTTGCACAGCCACCATGTGCACGGGCAGCTATGGCCTTTGCCCACTAGAGAATGGGTTTGCACCCTGGTGTCTCCATTTCCCTCCCCCAGCTCCCAGGGCAGGTGAGTGCCATCAGCTCTGCCAGGGGGTGTGACCACGGAGTGTGTCCATGCTCTGATCGATCCCCAAGTGTCCCCAGGGCTCAGATCTCAGTGACCCTGGGCAAGATCTCACAGGTTGATCCTGGCAGCTGTGCTGGAGGTGCTTTATAGCTCCAAAATAATTTGAGGAATGAAGAAAGCAAATTCCCTGTGATTTATCCAACCAGTCCCAGAGTGATGAGGAGGAGTCTGGGGTCGCACATGGCACAGGGGTTGCAGTGCCTCAGTCTGAACTGGCCATTGGATGGTGTGAAAAGAGAATACAGGAGGTAAAATGTGTGGCTCTTGATTTGCCATAGGAAACAATTTGTATTTCTGTTTCCTTCTGCCTGCTATTCACAGGCAAGACAAATTTAGCCAAAGCACATTTCTCTGAGCTCTGAGATTTACTGCCCTGTGACTCAACTTCCCCAACTGTGATCTAGGGAGAACAATCCTTTCTTCCCAGTCAGCAGGGTGTGAAGCTTTGTGCACCTCCCCCTTGAGGCAAAGCTCTGTCCAGAGCACCCAGATGGGAAAGAACTCTGCACCTGTGTGTCTTTAATCCCAATTCCAGGACTGGCAAGTATGTCATAAGAACATGCAGTTGCACATGCTGGGGACAAGAGAAGATGCTGATGGCACAGCCCCTCTGGAGAGCACAAACACAGCCTGGTGCCTTCATTCCCTGGGCTCAGCAAAGGCCCAAGCAGTGAACTCATGGATTCATTAAGGTTGCAAAAGCCCCTAGGATCATCAAATCCAGCCATTCACCCAGCAGTGTCAAGGCCACCACCAAACCATGTCCCCAAGTGCTGCATCTGTGCATTTTTTGCACATTTTCAGGCATGGTGACTCCACCATTTCCCAGGTCAGCCTGTTCTAGCACCTGAAAACCCTTTCAGTGGATCCCAGGGTGGAATGGGATGCTGAAGGACATGCTGTAGATCTCAGGGGAAGCTTGGCAGTGTCTTTGTCTCTCTGGATGTGCAGGAGCAACCCAGGGTGGGCAACCTTCATTTCTAGAGGTCCCCGTGCAGATATCTTGGGGTGGCAGAGGTGACTCCTCACTTTATTGTGCCTGTATTGAGCAGAGGAGTGAAGTGACCTCTCCTGAAGCTCAACACCATCCTGGAGAGCTTTTTCACATCATCTCCTTGGGGGTGGAATGTGGCTGTGAGGTGGCCAGGGCCGAGCGGGACTTGGTGGCACTGCCAGGCTGGATTCATGCTGGGAGGGGCAAAGCTTGGTGCCACAGCCTGCAGTGCTGGCACAGCTTAAGAGGCTCCCAGCAAAGCTACTGGCACGAATGGCCCCTGGTCTGGGCAGTGTGCTGGGGGGCCGGGGGGGCTTTCACAGCCTGCACAGCGATTCCAGGCAAATCCGTCTCAGGATGAGACAAAATTAAATAAAAAACCGACTCAGTGCCCCGAGCACGTGTGAAGTTGTTTTCTCAAGGGTTTGTCCAAACGCTGAAGTTCCCATTCTCCCAGCAGGAAGAGGAGAGAAAAAAACCCAGGCACAAAAGCCTTGGGAGCAGTCACTGGCTGGCGTGGGTGGGAAGGGGGCCAGGCTGGGCACTGTGTGGTGGCAGTAATTTTCCACACGCGGTGCATTAGGTGAGACTCTCGGTCAGGAGTGAATTCTGGTTTTTTTCCCCTTCTTCCTCACCTCCAGAGACTGGTGTTGGATGGGAGCCCGGGAGAGGCGAGATAAAGGTCTTCTCTATCAGACAGCTGTTGAAAGATCTCAAATGAAGAGGCAGGCATAGCTCAGGAGCCATTCAAGGCAGCAAATGTGAAGGGTAAACTGCAAAGCAGGTACTGTTTGTTGCCTTGAGAGGCCTTTGAAGACACATCCTCTCCTGGCTGGGCAGCTCCCCTGACCCCCGTCTGCCCGGGGCTCTCCAAGGCTCGGTGAGCTGCTGCCCTGGTGGGTTTGCTCTGCAGCTGCCTCGCCAGCTAGATCTGGGAGAGCAGCATTTCACATCCTTCAGGAGTTAGGAAAGGGGTAATCATCCACTGGGCTGAGGAAACCCCCAAATCTCCCTTCAACCCTCCTGCGGCCCTCAGGTAGGGATGGGGTAACATCAACTGGGTGAGGGAACCTCGGACTCTCCCTCCATCCCTCCCGCAGCCCCCAGGGCTGGGGGCTGCCCCGGGGGACGTGCAGCAGAACCCAGCTCATCACCCAGGCTCAGTGGCAGCCAGCCCTGACCCCGTCCCGTGTCTGAGGCTGGACACGTCCCGGAGCCTGCCCGACTGCCCTCCCCGAGCTGTTCCTGCCCCTCCTGCTGCGCCCGGGTCGGGCGCGGGGCACGCCCGTGGTCCTGGCCGTGGTGCTGTTGCCACGCTGCGGTGTGTCACGAATCTAATCAGATCTCACGCTCCAGGGAGCAATTCGCCTCACCACGGGAAAGCGGAGCCGCCTGCGCCGGGCCTCGCACGTGGCTCCCGCCCGCGGCGCCGCGCCCAGCGGGGCTCCCAGGGCACGGCCGGGGACACTGGGCCAGCACAGGCTGGGCTGGAGCTGCTCCAAGCAGGAGGCACGGCTGGGCCACCCATCCCATCCCATCCCATCCCATCCCATCCCATCCCATCCCATCCCATCCCATCCCATCCCATCCCATCCCTTCTGTTTTATTCTGTCCCATCCTTCCCCTTCTGTTGTGTCCCTCCTGATCCCATCCCAGCCAGCCCCATTCTCTTTGTTCAGTCCCAATGGTCCTCTCCCATGGCATCCCACATTCCTGGCCATACCATGCTTGTCCTGTCCAATCCTATCCTCCCTCTGGCAACAGCTCTGTCACTGTCTGCATCTCCCAGTGACCAGCCTTGTGCAATCCTCTGGCCCTGACCAGTCCCCCTCAGTCACCCGTTTCTCTCCCATCCCAACCCCATTCCTGTTGGGTGCATGTCCCACCAGCCATGCTAGAGGCAGGAGTGGCAGAGCAGAGCCAGGACACTGTCCCTGGTCTGTCACAGCTCACATCCACTCTCATATTGGGAATGAAGGCTGCCAGGGGGACAGCCAGGATCCAACCTCTGATCTCTCGTGACCCGAAGGCAACAGCTGGAACTGTGTCTGCTGGAACTGAGCTTTAGGTTGGATGCCAGGAAAAGGTTCTCCCTCCAGAGGGTGGTCGGGCACTGCCCAGGCTCCCCAGGGAATGGTTATGGCTTCCAGAGCTCAAGAAGCCTTTGGACAATTCTCTCAGGCACAAGGTGGGATTGTTGGGTTGTCCTGTGAAGGGACAGGAATTGGACTCAATGATCATTGTGATCCTTTCCAGCTCAGGATATTCCATGTTTCTATGACCTCAGGGTGAACCACTCCCAGAGTACGTCTGGCATGAATCCCACTTTTCTCTGCAGCTCCCGTCCCACGTCTGCCTCCTCCTTGGGTCATTTCGCATGTACCCAACACAAGACATGGACAAATGTCCAACAGAGGCTGATTTGCCTCAAATTAAATGGACAGGGTCTGATTGTGAACTGCTTGGAGTGCAGTCCCAGCCCTGGAGAAGTTGGAGACTGCTCCCTTGTAGGTGCTGGGCTGCCTTTGGGGATTTTGCAGTTACTGAGAGAAAGGATCCAGAGCTGCCCTTGACTCAGCCATTTTACAGCATCTCCTGAGCTCAGTGAAGCTGGCACTAAACCCCAGTCGCTTTGATCATGACAAATAGGAGCTGGAGAGCCAAATCCAGTGGAGTCACTGCCTGTCTGTGGAGCTGCTGCTTTTCCTGGTTTCAGATGTCGATTTGGTGTGTGGCTGGTGGCTCTGCCACCCACACTGTTAGGGCCAGGATGATGCTCTGTGAATCCAAGGAGCCTTGGGATGCTGGTGAGACTGGTCCTGCCCATGTCTTCAGTAGCCTCTGTGGAAGGAGCTGCCCTGGGGGATGCTGAGGATTGGTGTATGGGACTCCTCTCGTGTTAACTTATGGCAGAGCTTGTGCTTTTCACTCACTGATTGTGTCGTC